ATTTTTTTTCGAAAACTACATTTAAAAACAAAAATTTTGAAAAAAAAAAGTTCCCAAACGGTCAATTTTTGAAAAAGTTCTGGYAATTTAAAAATAAAAGAGCGGTTTTTTTCAAAAATTCATAACTTTTTTTGAGTTGGGAAAAAAAATTTGAAAAAATTCTGAAAAATAACTTTGGGGGGGATAGAAAAAGATAGAAAATTTTCAGCGAAATCAAAGGGGGTCATGTAAAAAATTTGTCCATTAGACATGGAATGACCCAAATATATTAGGTGTTGGAGTTAATTCGTAGCGTTTGATGAGAGATGGCGTGGTTTTACAGTGTTCTGTCTTTACCTTCAGAAACAAAGTGATCGTAAATCAGCTGTTAATAAGTATTATTTTTACGAAGTATTTTATTCCTAATTGTTAATAACAATAAGTGGCAGCTATTTAATTATGTCGAAATTTATTCTAAATAAAGTGTTTTTGCGGGGATTTTTATTACATTATTTTAATTTGAATAAAAGTGCTGCGAAAAGTCATCGGAAGTTTACTATGAACATGCTTTAGCTGATCAAACGTGTCACAAGTGGTTTGCGCGTTTTAAAAGTAGTGATTTTGATTTAGACGACAAGAAACGAACTGGACAGCCAAAAAAATTTGAAGATAAAGAATTGGAGGATTTACTTGAAGGAAATTCCTGTCAAACACTTCAAGACTTATCTACATCGTTGGGGGTTGATTTATCAACGGTAGGAAAATGCCTTAAAGCTTTGGGAATGATCCAAAAGGAAGGAAATTGGGTCCCATATGAATTAAAACCGAGAGACATTGAAAGACGTTTTATGACCTGTGAACTACTGCTTGAACGGTACAAAAGAACAAAATTTTTACATCGTATTATTACTGATGATGAAAAATGGATATATTACTACAATCCGAAACGCAGAAGATCATGGGTTGAGCTCGGACAACCATCATCATCATTGGCAAAACGCAATATTCATGGATCTAAGTTCCTCCTTTGTATTTGATGGGATCAACAAGGTGTGGTTTATTATGATTTGTTAAAATCCAATGAAACCATCACTGGGAATCGCTATCGTTTACAATTGATGCGTCTGAGTCGTACATTGAAGGAAAAACGGCCGGAATGGAGCAAAAGGMACGATAAAGTTATTTTGCTGCATGACAATACTCGACCTTACGTGGCGAAACAAGTGAAAACATATCTGGAAACACTGAAATGGGAAGTCTTAATCCACCCGCCATATTCTCCAGATATTGCTCCTTCGGATTACCACCTGTTTCGATCAATGGCTCATGATTTATCAGGGGAAAATTTAACATCTTATGAAGATTGCCAAAATTGGATCGATTCATGGATTGCCTCCAAGGACAAAGAGTTTTTTCGACAGGGTATTCGACTACTACCTGAAAGATGGGAAAAAGTTTTGGCAAGCGATGGGTAGTATTTTCAATAATGTAATTTTTTATTTTCATTTCAAATAAATCGTTATTTTTTAATAAAAAAGAACGCTATGAATTAATTCCAACACCTAATAATATAATCTTTTAGTAGAAAAAATACATTCCTATACATCCTACATATTTAAAATATATATATGTTTTATTTATTTTTACCAATACATTTATTTCTACACGGAAAACTATTGAAAATAGTAGTATTGTTTTAAAGAATACTTTACGATTTTCGTTTTCGTTGATCGCGTAGTACGAAATAGGTCTGTTAGTGAATACTTAAAACTAGAAACTGGACGAAGGAAAAAGAAAAAAATTGAAATTTGGATTTTTGGCAACGTTTTTAGCAAGAACATTCAAATTTCGCTACAATTTTTACCACATTTTGGTTTCTTAACACTTTACCGACCGGCCGTCGATTAATCGCAGTTTTGCTCCACAGCGCTTACCGACCGGCCGTCGATTAATCGCAGTTTTGCTCCACATCGCTTACCGACCGGTCGTCGATGATTCGACTTTTGCTTGATCGCGGTTACTGACCGGTCATCGATTAATTAACCTTGATCTTTCTGTTAGATTTGGTTAGACTAGACTGACAAGTAGCAAGCAGCAAGCATTTCGCATTTTTTTTTTCAGATAATCGGTGCTTTTCTCTAAGCTCTAAAGCTTAAAAATGAATGAAAAGGATAACCTCGGACGATCTGCGGCTGAGTGGGCGGTGAAAAGGGCATAGTATGTTCGAACCGCTACCGGTCGGTAAAGTGTTAAAATTCGATTTTATAAAAAAAACGAAAATCCTTCGTCCAAGTCCTTGTCAATAGTATCACGAAGACGTGTAGCAAATTTCATGAAAATCGGTTAAATAGTTTTCGAGTAATCTTGACAACCGACTTTAGAAAAAGCGTTTTGAGAAAAACGCGTTTAAAGATTTGAGTGCTGATATAAGAACCATTAAAGAGTGGAACTTCCCAAGGCTCTATCTTTAAAACTACTACTCCTATTGACTTCAAAATTTAATACAATATTCTAGATGAGTTGTAGAGTTTAAAAAGATAAAAAAAAATTATTGTTGAAAGTCCCAAACCCATGTAACCCCTGAAGGGGGAATTTGTGTTTTCTACATATTTTTAAAAATTTAATTAATAATGATAAATTAAATATATAATAGATAAAAATAAATAATTTATACAATACATTATAAATATCAAATAATTAATGTAATTATAAATTAAATTTTACATGATAAAAATTTTAAATATTACTCGAGTAATAAATAATATTATTATTTACATTACTAAGTTTACTCTTAGGAAGGTTGTTTTTTGGACGGGTTTAATTAAGATGAACACTATATTTATCCGTTGAACGTTTCGTCTCTATTTGAGACTTCCTCAGCAACTTGATAGTTATGTTCATAAGTCAATATAACATCATTTTTATTACAGTCAT